GTTTTTGATTTTTCGAGACAGAGTTTCTCTGTGTAGCTTTGCACCTTTCCTGGAACTCACTTGGTAGCCCAGGTTGGCCTCGAACTCACAGAGATCCGCCTGGCTCTGCCTCCCGAGTGCTGGGATTAAAGGCGTGCGCCACCACCGCCCGGCTCACATATTTTATTTTCAACGGTTTTTATTCTTAACTATTCTGAGTTTTGCAAACTCGGGAAAATCATTTTAAATGAATAATGAGTGTTATAACATGTAGGTATCATATAATTCTATTAATATATATTTGAGCTGTTTGCATTTATTTTCTTTTTCAAATAACACTACAGATGACTGGTTTTGTTCACGTTGGAATAGATGAATGTTCCAAAGAAAAGCTTAAGACATCAAGTTGTTGAGTTACATGTAGTTTTATATGTAAAATGAAGATTTTATTTTCACATAGTGAATCCAAAGACCAACTTTCTAAAAACCTTACCAACACAAAATGTTATCTTGTTTTCCTAACTTTGTCTGAATTTGTAGATAAAAAGTTTGCACCTTTTTGAATGTTTATGTTTTATAACTTTTCATCTATGAATTTTCAAACTTTTCTGTAGGTTTAAAAATAGTATGCTTTTTATTAAATCTTGGTAGACTTTTATGTGGTTGAGTTCTACCAGTCTTTCCAAAACTAACATATTTGTTACCTTTTATGTGACTCTGCTAGAAGACATCTGGAGATCAGGAAGTGAATTCTGTCACCTCAGAAATTACCTTTGTGAACAGTGCTACTCATGTATTCTATAGGGACTGATGACATGGTTGTCATGATAGTTTTTGAAAAATCAGGAGAGTAGAAGCAGCATCAAATTATAAATACTTGTAAATCAACTACAGTAGGTGAGATCCATCATATTCCCAGAGCTCTCTGACAACTGATAGATGCTGCCAGAGAACATCCTCAGTGGTTTTGTTTTTTTTTTTGTTTTTTTTTTTGGCTTTTGTGGGGGTTTTTCCCCTTCCTAAACATTTGGGAAATCCTGCTTCTTTTTAAATGTGATCTTTGTGAGTAAGCATGCATATATTCACACACAGCTGACTCACATCAGTAGACTAGAGAAAAAGTATATGAGAATTGTAATAATGATTATTACTTAGTGGTTATGTTTTTATTTCCATAGCTTTTTATATATTATCCAGAGATGTAGTACTGTAGAGTACAGTGGTCTCCCATCATAATCTCGTGATTTTGAAAATTATACAGTACGTGCGCCCCTGCGTCCACTCTCTGGTTTAAAGTGGACCTGTGCAAGGATACCCTGAAACCCAAGGTAGTGGAGACAAGAAAGTCCTTTGATATCTGAGCTCAAACTGGAATGTTAAGTGGTGGTCATATGCACTTCTTTTAGAATATAATAGCCAATTTATCGTTGTTTCTCTTCTTTCCAAAGCCATATGAAGGACTGAGGCCTCAGGATCTTCGTAGATTAAAGGATATGCTTATTGTGGAGACTGCAGACATGCTCCAGGCCCCTCTGTTTACTGCTGAAGCTTTACTTCGAGCTCATGGTAATGAGAACTGTCTTATGCCTTTGATAACTCAGTGCCTTTTGAAACTTCAGAGTTAAACACGGCTATTTCTGTGTCTAAATATGAATTTTTTTAAGGAGCCAGATAATTTAAGCAGCTCCCAGATAATTTTTGTGCACATGTTGCTCTGACAGTCATCATCCTGTAACACTTCTCATTTGTTGCGTGAAGTGGCTATAAATCAAAGAGGAGAGTAGCATTTGCTTGCTTGCTTTCTTTCTTTCTTTCTTTCTTTTTTCTTTCTTTCTTTCTTTTTTTTTGATTGAGCTACTGAGTTTTGTTGAAGTCATTCAAGTATTAAATTGTAAGGCTCAATTAAATTGTGTTATTATCAATTATATTTATTCAGAAGCTGTTTCTTACCATGAAATGTACAAATTGAGATTAAGATTTGAGAATATACGATCTCTTATAAGATTTTTTTGTTTTGTTTTTTAAAGATTTATTTATTTATTATGCATACAGTGTTCTGTTTGCATGTATCCCTGCAGGCCAGAAGAGGGACCAGATCTCATTACAGATGGTTGGGAGCCACCATGTGGGTGCTGGGAACTGAACTCAGGACCTCTGAAAGAACAGCCAGTGTTCTTAACCTCTGAGCCATCTCTCCAGCCCTTGTTTGTTTTTTCATTTATTCACTTTGGGGGTATTTTTTTCTTCCCTAAAGATATAGCCAACTAAGGAAACTTCTCCAACTTTGTCCCTTGTTCCCTGTCTTTCTTAGCACAGTCACTTGGAATGTTGTTGCATGCCGGGTTACACTCTCCTTCATACTGGATATTTGCTCTTTTGTCTGGCTTTACATGACAGCATTTTCTGACTTTAAAATAATTTTAAAAAAGAAATGTATAAGGAGTCTTTGTCTGTCCTGCCAGCCGGCTCCCAGATAACGACACAGAGACTTATTAATTATGAAAGCTCAGCCTTTCACTTAGGCTTGTCTCAACCAGCTCTTATAAGTGAACCCATGTTTATTACTCTATTCTTCCACATTGCATCATCTCTCTTTTATATTGCACCTCCTGTTTCCTCTCCATGTCTGGCTGGCGACTCTGCCTTTCTTCTTCCCAGAGTTCTCTCTGCCCAGAAGTCCCATCTATACCTCCTGCTCACTGTTGGCCATTAAGCTTTCTATTACACCAATCATAGCAATACATCTTCACACAGTGTACAGATATCCACAACAGAAAGATAAGTGCTGAATTTTAACAAAAATATATTTAAAAACAGAATAGTAAAAATCTGTTCTATTCCAGTTATTTTGAAGCTCTAGTTGTCTATTTTTAACAAGAAGTCTTTATCCTGAACACCAAAATAGGATGTTACTTCCCAAAATGTTTGTATCATCTTTTGGTCATAATGATCCCAGCACCTGGGAGGCAGAGAGAGGTGGATCTCTCTGAGTTCAAGGCCAGCCTGTTCTGCAAAGCCAGGAGTTCTGAGACAGTCGGAGCTGTTGTACAAAAGAACTCTGTCTCAAACAACAATACAAAAGAACTGAGAACTGGGTATTTCCTCATGGATACAGGCCCCTGCTGCCAGCATGTTGGCTAACCCTAACCCAGAATCATACTGTTAGCACTGGTGTTCGCCTGCTTCTATCATGGCCTCTTCTCCTTCTGAACCACAGTATTCTGGGTATGTAGCAGTGACTCCTACGTTTCCTATAAGAAGAATGGCCTCGGAAAGTAAACGTAGATTCAGAGCTGGCTTCGGAGAGTCAGGGTCTGAAGATGTGGGGTCGAGCTTAAGAATAAATACATTTAAACAAGCTACTCGGTGGATGTGAAACCAATAGTGTTTAAGATGACCTGAGTCCTAGCAGCTGCACACCTACAGTCCGACTGTGCCAGGGTTTCTAAACTGTATTTGTCATTTCCACATAACCTAACAGTGTCCTCGGTTAACTCCTCACTGATTGGGGGGCACCAGGGAACCCTCACCTAGTTACCTGGCAATAACTTTAGTGTCATCCTTCACTCCCCATCAGTTCCCATCACTTCTATTCCTAGGTGCCTCAGCCTCTACTCTTCTTTGTTCTCCCATTCCCACTGATGACTTCAATTCAGACTACTATTCTCTGTCATTGTTGTACCCTGATCTTCAGTTTTGTTCTTCTGGTTTCACCCAGTACATATTTTGTGTTATTTGAGAATCCCAGTCTGAGCCTGCCATTGCATGGATGAACACTCTTCCGTGCTCCCCAGACTTAAACCTATCCAGTTTTCTAAAGTAGACCTATGACATAAGTTTCATCATCTGGGGTGTTAGTCTCTCCAGTTCTTTGACCATGTATCTCAATTTGTCCTTAAAAATCATCTCTTCTAGGAATTTTTCTTACCTTGTATCTTTTGGGACTCTTCCTGTTTCCATTATATTCTATACTCAGCACACACACACACATACATACACATCTTACTACAGTGGTTCTCAGCCTTGCAAGCCTTTAGTGCATACAGTTTAGACACTCGAATGTGAGTATATCTGCATGTGGGTGGGCCTGCCTGGAGATGGATAGGGGAACTGTGTTTCAGTTCCTGAAAACATCAGAAATACATGTTTTCCCAATGGTGTTAGGTGACCCCCTTTATTAGCCTGGAAACTCCTTAATGGGTTTGTGTTTACATAATAACAAATGTATATTAATCTCAGAAAATAGTTGTGAAATGAATAAACATACTTGAAATGTACTTTTATATGTTTTTGCTTTTAAAAGGTTTCTCCATTGTCATCTTTTAAGCTCCAGGATAAATCCTGGGTCAAAAAATTTAAATTTAGAAATTCATAATAGCCTTTTGAGATGTAGCTCATTTTATAGAGTGCTTGCTGAGTGAGGCAATGTGATTGCAGAATAGTCTTCTTCTAACTAACAGTAATGCCTAACAATCATAACATGAAAACTTGTACAGAATCTTGGGAATGAGAGGAACATTTATAATCCAGTGATTTAGGAGGCAGAGGCACCAGAATGATGAGTTCAAGACTAGCCTAGGTTACATGGGGGAGACCCTTTCTCAAAATAACTAAACAAGCACCAAACTAGAACAGAAATGCAAAGTGCCTTAAATTGTGTTACCGTGTTTCTTTATAGAGTTAGGCTCATAGCACCAGAAAATATATTCTGTCCTTTGTTTGACCTCTTTGACTCAGAGTATGTAGTTCAGTGTAGTGTAGAAAGCACGGTGTGGTATCTCCTCCCTGTTATCTCAGCCCTTAGGAGCAGAAGATAGGAGGATCACTATGGGCTACATAGTAAGGCCAGCCTGGTCTACAGAGTTACACTTGTCTCAAAAACCTAAAAATAAAAACAATAAAAAACAATTTAAAGAAATAAAATGCAGACCTGGCAGAAAAATGGAAGCTATTCATCAGTGGGGTCATCATGTAGCATTTCATTTATCCCAGTCTGAGGTTTTGCTGTCCATGGTTTTAGCTACCTGTGCTCAGGTATAGTCCATAATTATGAATGGAAAGTTCAAGAAACAAACTAAGTTTTCAATTGCACACCATTCAGAATCACATGGGATTTCACCCCTCAGGCTCAGGATCTGAATCAGTCTTTTATCGAGTCTGTTGGACCTGTATGCTGTACTTGCCCTTGATCAGTTAGTAGCCATCTCCTTATTAAGTCAACCTTTACACTAGGACAAAACTAGTGCTCAAGTAACTTTGCTTTACTTGATAGTAGCATATTGATGTTGGGAGTTTGTTAGAGTGCATTGCTATAACTATCCAATTCATTGTTAGTATATCACCTGTATATATAGAGAGAGATTAAAAAAAAAAAGTCCTTGGTATACATGCACTTACATACATACATATGGTATGTACTGTCCACGGGCTTCTAATGGAAGTCTTAGGACATGTCCTCTGTGAGTAAGGAAGAACTACTTTAGCACTTAAGATCAGCTAGCTGTTGAAACATCTCTTAATCTGATTACATAGTTCAAAGCATTTATGTCTTGATATGAAAAGGAGCTCTACACAGTCATTCAGAGACACCAAACCTTGACATCTTCAAGTAGTTTATCTTCATCCTAGCCAACCAATCAGAAAGGGAAGAATAGTTGTGAAGTTCCTGAGCCCATCCCAGATGTGTCATATATTATCCCTGCAGGGATTCCATTGGCCAGATTGTAGCCAGGCAGCCACGCCTAAATGTAAGTAACAGTTCTGCACTGTAACACCTTTGCACATAGTCCTCTTGGCCACAGATACTATGTTCTCACAAGTAAACTCTAGTTGAATTTTCCTGTTCAGCATTTGTCCATTCTATGATAATAACTTCTTGTTGTTTATTTCTTTTGGGAGTTGTTGTTGTTGTCCAACAGTATGGACAGGCTGGCCTCCAGATCACAGCCATGTTTCAACCGTGCAAGTCCAGGCACATCCCCCTGTGCCTAGCCTGACAACTTGCTGAAGCATTTGTTTTGTATTTCTTCTATTAAAGCATTAGGTGCAGGATCCGAGTTTTCTAATGGGCTTCTCTCTTGTATTGTTTAGGTAGTATTGCTGACATTTACAGAGATCAGTTGTATTCGAGTGGAACAGTGGACGGAGCTACCCTCCATTATGATATGTAAAGCTCTGCTTCGGAACTGTAAACTCAACTGTCTAGAAGATCATAGTCTTGCTGACACTCTGCTTTTCATAGGAATATAGGTTATGCTATCTCATGTCAGATTTTGACCTTAAGTAATAAAACTGGCCTCAAGCAGAAGTACTAAATGTTTTATGATGTTTACTAAATAGTATTTAAGTCTTAAAGACATGGTCTTAGACTTACGTGTTAAAAAATATTTGGATTGGTTTTATGTATATGAATGTTTTGCCTGCATGTGTATATGTGCACTACATGCTGGCCTGGTACTATGGGATCAGAGAAAGATGTTGGACCTCCTACAACTGGAGTTACTGGCCATTGTGAGCCACCATATAGGTGCTGGGAATCAAACCAGTGTCCTCTGTGAGGGCAGCAA